GTGGGATCAGTAAGGGTGCACTTAGTTTTTCACACATGGCTTCTCCATTTTGGCTTTCGTTTTGTAAAATAAAAGATGACATCGTGTAATATGTCATGTGTTGTTGTTCATCTGATGATTTTTTTATGTCCTGATATGTAAAACCATAGAACTCAAAGAGGGTGTACTTTCTTTTTCACACGACTGTACAGCCTTTCCAAGATAGCTTTTGTTCAGAGCGCATAAGGAGGCACTTTGAGTCCATTTTCTTGGTGTATCCAGATTAGCATGGATATACCAATTGTTAAATTTCCAATGTTAAACTCAAATCCCTTCATTTGGACATGATTGGAATTTGTTGCAGAAATCTGTATGCAAGCAGTGCACACTCAGTGGTGCTTGAGTTTTATTCTGCTGCTTAACAGAGAGAGAAAAAGGTAATTCTCATTTGGCAGAGAGGTGGCTTCAACAATTCTACTCTCTGTGAGGAATAAATATAGGGGTGTGTGCGTGTTCAGTATCTGCCCTCTGTTCCTTTCTTCCATCTCCAGAGAATTCCATTCATCAAAGAATGATCACATCCCCGTAACACACCCTGAACCTAGTTGGCTGTTAACCACTAGTAATGGGCTTGCCCTTTGATGCACAGTATATCAAACCAACGCCAACCCTAACTGGTTGGTTGGCAGCCATTTTGACTAGTGATCTGGCCATCTTTGTGGTTGTTTCTTTTTTCATTGCGTTTGCTTAAAAATGAAAATCAAAAATATAGCAATCCAAACAGGGTTGGAGCTACTGCAGATAAAGGAAGCAGGATGGTGTCCCTCTTTTGCCTCTCTCACTCCTAGACAAAATGAAATGGGGGAAAACTGAGAGGAAAAATGACAGGGTGGCTTCAGCAGCTCCATAGTATGGCTGCTGTAGCCTCTCATCTCTATTTCCTGAAGGCCAAAAGGATGCAGATCACTCTATGCAGGTTGAGTTAACCAACAATAAAAGTTGGTTGCCAACTGTCAGGCACTCTGACCCAACTGATTCAGACAATTTCCTTTGCCTTGTAGATTGGCCTAGTGTGCTATGTGAACATAGCTGAACATTGATTTCTTTGAAACAGCAGTGGTTGTGCCAGATACCACCCCCTATGGTGAGGGGGCAATGGCAAGGGAAGGTAGGATGAATGTGGGCTCTGCGAGGACCGGTTGAGAAGAGGGGTCTGGGGAAGGGTTAAGAGGTAATTTGGAGGGTGAATGTATTGAGGTAGGGACTAGATAGAGGAGATGGAGCAAGTGGGCTATCTGGTGCCCATTACCTCTTCTGGTGTAGCTACCTCATCCTAGTGCCCAGGGGGTCCTGACATCAGGCTGCTAGTGCTAAATCCCTTCCCTTCCCTCCC